TATATGGATATTTACAAAAAGAAAATAATGAGAGGTAGAGACAAGAGCTGATCGGAGAGTAAATGTCCCATCTAAGGAGGAACATTACCATTTCCGATGTTGCCATTTGGAACTTGACCTACTGTTCCTAGATCTTCCAATTTCTTGATAGAAAAAAGAATCTGAATTTTTTACATTCATGACTTGGGAAAATAGAATAAATTCCACAATGTGCTACATTCTGGAAGTACTCAGTTAAATAAAGTTCTAACACAGACTTTATTGGTGTCCTTAATTTATTAATATACATTACAAAGAGATATTGTGATTAGCATTTCTCTAACTTACTTTATAAATGAATCCTTTCTTCATGCAATAGCTCGAGGGATAAGCTTTCATTGGTGCATACATGGAAAATGCTTATTTATGCATAAGTCAAATGATTATTTGATCTTATCAACTTCTTTATTTCCTTTTTGAAAATTTTAGTATGAATATTTCTTGTAGCTTATGAGTCATAGTTGATCACACACACACACACACAGCTAATTTTGTTAGATGTTCTAACATCTAATGTCAGATCTGGCCAAAATATAAATGTAGCATTTATTAGTCTTCCAACTTGTTAAATACTGAATGGAGTCTTGACCTTCTCGTTGATGAAGAAACACTGAGTGAAATCACAAGAACGCTGAATAATGTTATTTCCCAACTTCTCTCCCTTTTTCACCTGGTGGGCTACAGAATTTAGAGACAGGAAGGACAGCCAGTTCCTACTACATACTTGGCAAACCTTTTTTTACTTATCTACGAGGAAGGAAGCTGGGAGAAGACAAATAAATCTGGAATGGAAGTTTTGTAATAAAAAAGATAAGACTAATATTGTTGCAGGTCTTTAAAAATATTCCCTAGGATATACTAAAACATTTGAAGTACAAGGCTCATCTCTGAAGAATTAGAGTGTGTAGTTTGTAAAAGAGCTCACAGTACAATACATTAATATGTGTGTGTGTGTGTACACATATTTATGTCACATATTATTAAAAAGTTCCATCAACGTTTAGAAGAGGGAAAGGGCAATGTAGGTTTGAGAGGCCAGTGAAAGTGTCCCATGAGTGGTCCCTGAAGCATAGGCAGGTATCAAGTTGAGAGTGGGATGGTAGGAATTCCATGCAGAGAAAGAGATATGGCACTTTTAGGAAGACTGTACAGGTTGGAAGGGAAATGGGACACTGAGGCTGGCTACTGAATACCAAGTAAAAAATATGGCCTTAATTGTGTAGGTAGCTAAGAGTCTTTGAAGGATTCTGAGCATGAATCTGCCATATTCAGGGAATTTGATCTTATGAGGCCACGGTGAGAAGGTGAGACAAGAGTACTCTGCAGGATCCTGGGTTGAGGTGATAAGAGTCTGGGCTAAGGAGTGAACAGTAAGAATAAAATAAATTATGGTCTTTGGAGAAAATAATCAATAGAACTTTTTAACCCTTTGAACGTTAGAGAAGCAAAATGGAAAGGAATGGCTTTGACCTAGGTCAATAACAGAACGATTATCCCAACAGCAAACTGGTTCACACTTATGGATTTAAGGTGGCAGTGGTACATTTAAGTAGAAATGCCCAATCGATTAATTAGTAATCTAGAGCTAGAACATGAAAGGAGAGACAGATAAAGTACACAAAGGCATTGCTGTATTCTCAGCTATGTGCTAGATCCTTTACCTTTATGTTCAATTTAGGAGAGAAATAGGGATGTACTTTGCAATTTGGCACCATCTTGCATAGATGTCAGTCAAATCAGGAGAATGGTAACATTCAGTGAAGACTAATTCATCACAATTTCTCTCTGACCCTTCGCTATGAAAACAGTCATCACAAAAAAAAACAAACCCAAATGCCTATAAAAACACTGTATCATATCACATCACAAGATCACTGAAAATCCTGATTTCCACAAGATAATTCTGCATTCTAGGAAGTAATTGAAATAGGAGGGGGGAAAAAACAGAACTGTAATTGTTCTGTCTTTCCTTCTTTCCCTTGAGAAAGATGAAAAGACACAAAACAGGAGGCAGGAAGGAACCAGAGGAGAAAGTATCTGGGAGAGTTCCCACTTGCTGAGGTAAACAGGAATGAAAGCAAACTCTTTCTCTATACAATAATAAACATCTGAGCACGGTCTCCTCATTTCCTAGAATTCATTATCCACTTATGAATAGATTATTTTATTCCCATCATAAATCTTTCCACTCACAGGCCAGCTGGGCGTCACACATTCCACCTTCACATTCCCTCTGACAGAACAGAGTCTCAGTTTTTCTTTGTTTTGCAAGCTAGTCCTGGAGCTCAGGTGCAACAGGCAGATCAACAAGGATGACGGATGTTTCTAAGGCGGCCATCAGTTTTCCATTTGCCACAATGCGCCAGGGTGAGCTAGGTCCATTCCTTCTTTCCTCTGGCTGCCAGAAAGGCCATGCTGCTGAAAATGTCTCTCCATTTAAATGCCCAAAGCAAGAGGAAAATGGAGAAGTCATAACAAGAAAGGACAGGAAGAGCAGGTGACAGGTAGACTAAAATGGATAAATTCAGAAAACATCTTCTCAGCACACAGTGGTTCTTTAATATAAATATGTTTTCATTCATGGTACTTTACTTCCCTTTCCTTTACAAATGCAATGCAATAAACATTATATCTGTGTGTACTCACAGACTTTCTTAATAGCATAACTGCTTCTAATAAACAGAATATAGATGTCCTCTTTGAATTCTATAACAAAGGACAGCAATGTCAAAATCCCCTAAGATCCATAGTAGAAATATCTGTTTAGAATCTGCAAAAGATATAAACATAAAGAATTCATGATTCTTATAGATTTTCCTGGAATCTCTTGCTGAAGTGCGAGAGGGAGAGCTGGGAGATTTGTAGACTGAATGTTCTGCAAGGAACAAGTCCAGAAGTGCATTCCCACCATCTAAAAGAATGAATTCAGCTTTAGCCAGTTTGGCTCAGTGGATAGAGGGTCAGCGTGCTGACTGAAGGGTCCCGGGTTCCATTCCAGTCAAGGGCATATGCTTGGGTTGTGGGCTTGATCCCCAGTAGGGGATCAATGCAGGAGGCAGTCGATCAATGATTCTCTTCCATCATTGATGTTTCTATCTCTCTCTCTCCCTCTCCCTCTTGGCAATCAATAAAAATATATTTAAAAAATAAAAGAATAAAATTACATTTGGGACTGGCTCAGGCCCAGATCTATATTATAGACAACTGAATAACTGATGTTTGTACTTCTAGAAACCAGCCAATATATGTGTTTTTTTTTAATTTAAATTCTTCATTGCTTAAAGTATTACATCTCTTTTTCCCCCCATTGACCTCTCCAGCTGCTTTCACCCCCAAGCACATGTCCTCACACACCTGTGTGTCCATTAGTTATGCTTATATGCATGCATACAAATCCTTTGTTTGATCTCTCTTTTTTTTTAATATATATATATTATTGATTTTTTATAGAGAGGAAGAGAGAGGGGTAGAGAGTTAGAAACATCAATGAGAGAGAATCATCGATCAGCTGCCTCTTGCACACACCCCCACTGGGGATGTGCCTGCAACCAAGGTACACGCCCTTGACTGGAATCGAACCTGGGAACTTTCAGTCTGCAGGCCGATGCTCTATCCACTGAGCCAAACCAGTTTTGGTTGATTGATCTCTTAACCACTCCCCATTCAACTCTCCCCTGCCTTCCCTCTGAGGTTGGATGGTCTGTTCAATGCTTCTTTGCTTCTGGATCTATTTTTGTTCATCAGTTTATATTGTTCATTATATTCCACAAATGAGTGAGATCATGTGATATTTATCTTTCTCTAACTGGCTTATTTAGCTTAGTATGATGCTCTCCAGATCCATCCATGCTTTTGCAACTGGTAAACGTCCTTTTTTTTTTTTTTTTTTTTTTTTAATAGCAGTGTAGAATTCCATGTGTATATGTACCACAGTTTTTTAATCCGCTAATCTGCTGATGGGCACTTAAGCTGTTTCCAAATCTTAGCTATTGTAAATTATGCAGCTGTGAATGTAGGGGTGCACATATCCTTTCTGATTGGTGTCAGGCAATATATTTTGAACACATAAAATAGGAGGGAAAAACCCTTGTAAAAATGTTTACTAATTGAATGTCCCCTTAAAGAAAAAGATTTTATAAAAAGTTAACAACACTGGATTGCTGTGAACTTCCATTTACACAACAAAAATCCTATCACAGATAAAATTATAATGGTAACTAGCAATACAGAGATAAGGACTGGACAAAACAGTCACCTGTTTTGACAATGAAGACAATTCATATGACTAATCCCCACCCTCTGACTGTGGAATAGCCACTGAGGTAGCAATGAATTAACTCTGCCAACAAAAATATTGTAGCTTACAGAGTTGGCTCAATGGGATAATTAAGCAACAATAAATCACTTTCTCTATTGACTTTAAACATTGTTTTCTGAGTTTTTACTGCCCTTAATCTCATGATACTACAATTTTATTTATAATCTAATTCTTGAATTTGTTACCAGATTCCATGAAACACCAAACAGAAGTCAGTGTTTTGCAACCGGTGCGAGTTATAGGAAGGAAACCCTTGCCTTTCTATCTCCACAGATGAAGAGAGGGAGAGCACAACATTCAAGGTCCAATGGCTGGCTCCTGCCTCCAGGTGAAGAGTGGGAAAATTCTCCAGGGCTATTAGCTACCTTTCTTGTGCTCTGTGTTCTAAAAAAGGGTCCTACATAACAACAACAACAACAACAACAAAAACCCACAAAAACAAAAAACAAAACAAAAACAAAACAAAACAACACAACACAAGAGCAGGATCCTCTATTCCAGACAGATCTACAGAAATTAGTGAGTTTTCCTGTAGAATAAAAATCTTCACAACAAAATTTCAGAATGATTAGCAACCCCATCATATCCTAATGATACCGTGCTTGCATAAAATAACAAAATGCACCCTATACTCCTCTCTTACCTGTCTACTCTCTCTTTGGGAGGACGTTGAAGTGGAGGCACTTCTGTGGGTTGGAGTGGATGTTTTATGAGCAGGGGAGACGCCCTTTTCGTCTGAACTCATTGCTGCAGTTGGAGTCTAGTTGTGTGCACTTAAGGTCATCCCAATTGTGTCTCAAATTCAGACAAAGAAGTAGATGAATTTTCAGCTTCAGTCCATTTCAAGAATCTGGGTGGACTAGAAAAGAGAAGGTAAATATTGAGAGTGTCCAAAACAACTGGAAGCAAAACAAACAAAATATAACTCATGTAAATTTATATTTAGGAAAAATACTAAAATGTTAGTGAGAGGAAGAATTCTGATACATTAGGAAATATTTCTTCCTCTTCATTTTTAAGGTGGAGACTAAAAGTGTTGATATGTAACAAAAGTCTGTCCAGAAGAAAAATGGAAAGAAATTATATGCTAAAGTCATACTTTTCTCTTGTAATCTTTGTTTTTATTTATTTATTTATTTATTTATTTAAATACATTTTTATTGATTTCAGACAGGAATGGGGAGGGAGAGAGAGAAACATCAATGGTGAGAGAGAATTATCTATTGGCCACCTCCTGCACATGGGAATCTGGGCATATGCCATGACTGGGAATCAAACCATGACTTCCTGATTCATAGATTGATGCTCAATCACTGGGCCATGACAGCCGGGCTGTAATCTCTTTGTTTTAAACATGTCAAAGTACATCAGTTTTTTTCCTCTGAAATTTAATATCCCCTGCTCAATGGATTATAATAAGAGCTCATTCCATGCTTGTCTCCAGTTAAGTTCAGTCATTTCATGCATATTATGATTAAATCCAACATAAGATAGTCTGTCACAAAAGGCAAAAGGGCTCCTGCTTTTTGTGTATCATGTGATCCAGCCATTCGAAGGTTTGAAGTAATACATATATCCACAGTTATTTTGTGTCTCAAGTCTACAGAATACCTATATGTGACTTTCTCAAAACAACAATCAACAGGATTGAAAGCATCCCCAGAACTGGAATAGTGCTAGGAGTTGCTTCACTTATCCACAGCCAAAGAGTACTTCATTTTTCATTTTCCGGTAGATTCATATAAGGAAAATCTGCATTGTAGCACCAGGGCTAAAAACAGTTCAATTGGCAACACAGGCTGCTAAAAGAAATCATTTTAAAGGTAATCATGGCAGTGTGAGATGTAACGCTTACACACCAATCTGTGACTCCAAACATTGACCACTAAAATGAACTTTATCCTCTTCTAAGAAGATGAAAGGCCAAGTTCTAGTCCCCATCTTAGTGCTTATATTCCTTGAAAGTACTTACCCAAGTTTGGGAGCTAACAGAAATGCAAAGACTGTAGAGCTCTTTCCTAGTTTTGAAGCTAATAGAAATGTAAAGAGCTTATTCTTGGCTCAAGATAAGTTTCATTTGGTATTGGCAAAAAGTAGTCATAAACTGACACTGAAGTAATCATCCAATCCTTTTTTTAATGAAAGCAGTCTAATAAGTGTGAATAAAATTTCTCAAGCCAAGCTCTGGTGCCAGCAAACAGAAAGCAAGAACACTGCTCAGATCCTTAATTTTAAGCACTTCACTTTCTGGTCCAAGATGTTTTACAAGTAGATGCTGACTCTTGAGCTGAAAGTATGGAGGTTCTGTGATGGGCTCAAGTGCCCCCAAGGGATGAGGTTGAGATGACCAAACTCATTAAATTGTTATCCATTTGGAAGTAAATTCAATCTAAGCTACATCAAGGGCCAACATTTTCTCTGTGGCACTGTTGAAATTTCTTAACCACATCCGACTTCACTTTCTGATTAAAAATAATGCTAACATCTTGGTTTTGGTTTTAACTAAAAATGACATTTTCAGGGTAACTTGTCTATGATGAAAGAGCAACATTTTGGTTGAATCATAATTATGAATAACTATAATAATATCAAGAATGAAGAAAAGGTGAAAGAATTTAATCCATTCCAAGAATTGTTTCTGAGGTGGTTGTTTTTTCTATTAATTTTTATTATAAAATTTTTTTTCAAGTACCTAAAAAAAAGGTTGAATGGGATCAAAATGCATTACAAAAGGAAGTATGAACTTCGTTATCAGGTTGCATCTACTTGTAAGAATGGCTGTGACATTAAAAAAAATACTTACTTCACCCTACCCGGTTTGGCTCAGTGGGCACAGCCTCGGCCTGTGGACTGAAGGGTTCCAGGTTCGATTTGGGTCAAGGGATATGCCTTGGTTGCAGGCACATCCCCAATAGGGGGTGTGCAGGAGGCAGCTGATCAATGTTTCTCTCTCATTGATGTTTCTAGCTCTCTATTCCTCTCCTTTCCTCTCTGTAAAACTTAATAAAATATATTTTAAAAATACTTATTTCATCTTTATCAAAAGACATTTTCAGGAATTGCCTAATCAACATTCTACACCAAAAACCAAACAAACAAAACAAACAAACAAAAAAACCCCAAACCCATAGATTTAAAGTAAACACCAACATAATTTTTATACTCAATGAGAAAAGTATTGTAGCTGGAAATAACATCAATAAGAAAGATGAATATCTAATTTTTCTGTCTTATCACTCCTTCTTATCAATGGGATTATTATAATGGTTTCTAGGGACTGTAACATTTGCATTTACACTGAGTGACATAAAATTCTGATTTAGGGTCCCGACCAGTGTGGCTCAGTTGGTCAGAACATTGTCCTATATATTGAAGGGTTGCGGGCTTAGGCACATACTTAGGTTGCAGTTTCAGTCCCAGGTCGGGGCACATATGGAAGGCAACACTGATGTTCTCTCTCACATTGATGTGAAGCACAGTCACCTCCATCTTGTGTAAAAACTGCTGTTTGAAATTCTAATCCTGCTATTTGGCTTCTGTAAATGCTTGATTGCTTAAATAATAAGGAAAAATAAGACTACTCCCATTCCAGAGAGGCCACTATGCCCCAGACAGTGTTGTCAGTGTTGGCGCCAGGCCAGGCCTTGAAATATGGTCTCACGGCTCCGTCCCAGCACACAGGACTTTTTTTCTCAGAAGGCCCTTAAGTCTCATTCCAAATTTGGAAGACAAAAAGCTGAAAAAATATATAAATAGGGAAGACTTCCACCATTTTGGGACCCAGAATTTGACAGAGATATTCCACTCTAAGCCCACTACTGCTAGCATAATAAAGACTCCAAGTTAATTTGGCTTATTGATTAAGGTGTCTCATGTCAGCTCGCTGATTTACAATATAACAGACATTTCTCTCTTTCTCCCTCTTTCTCTAAGAATCAGTAAGTATATCCTCAGAAGAGGATAAAAAAAAAAATTCAGATTTATGACCTAGGGACCTAACTAAAGCAAATGGTGGCAGAAAAGACTTTTAGAACTTGTTCTTCATAGGTATCATAACTTGTATGTGTTCAGAAACACATGTGGAACTGGGAACTAGTTAGCCTGAGCTAAGTTGTGATGTAGCAGCACAACTGCAAAATTTCAAGTCCTTACAAGAAAGGTTTATTTCTTCCTATTTACATGTCGTTTATAGGTCAGCTGCAGCCATGCTCAGTATCCTCTTCATCCAGGCTGAAGAAGCAACTCCCACATGAAGGAGGAAGGAGCCATGGCAGAACCTTGAGATAGTTCTGAATGCCTTTGCTTGAGATGACTCATGTTACTTTCACTCACATTTTATTGGTCCAACTCTTTCCTCCTGTTTTAGGATTTGCTGGCTCTTGGGCATTATGCATTGAATTGTTCTCAGAACTGAATCTTCAAAAAATTATTATTGGAAGATGTTAGGGAATACTTCTTATCCTGAACAATTAAACTACCACTTATACTGTTTCCCCAAGTAATCCTTCTTCTCTGGACATCTGCTCATTTTATTCTTACCAAAGCATAAGTGGCCTTACAAAAAATTACAGGGTAAAAAATCAGCACAGCAAAAATATCATTTGAGGTCAAAGTCCTAAGAAGAGAATACCAGCTTTTCCCAACTATCTCCATCATGTCAGAGAAAAAATACTAATAAAAATAACAGGCTCTTTCTCTATGTCAGTCCTGGATGCCAAATACTTTTCACCCACTCTCAGTAACTCTCCTTTTATTCAGTGTACAGGCAGGGAAAATAGGGCTTAGATGGCTTATTAAATCTATTTGACAGATTTTTTTCACTGCACTTTACCCTTGATTTACTAATAAATCAATGAATAAACTAAGCAATAAATCAAGTTTTTTAAGGCATGGTACATAACTTATGGCATACAACACTAACTTATAGAGGTTAATAATCTGGGATTCATGAACAGTTTTAGCACATTCTTTAAACCCCAGAAAATAAAAAGTGGTGGGTAATACATGCATTATATTTTCCTAGGGAAATATTCAATAGCTTTCATCACATTATCAAAAGGTATCCTTGTGACCTTATATTTCTAAAATGATTGTTACCAGCACAGGTTTAGAAATATCCATGGTTATAAAAGCTGTACAACATATTTAATATAAAAAGATCACATGATATTTGATTTTGATGGGAGCATGTGCCATGGATTCTTGACAAGACCATTTTGATACTACCACTTAGTAATTTTACCAGTGCTAATTTTCTAAGACTTGCCAGCCACTGTTTTATTCATCACTTTGTTTCTGACTCTTGCTAACATGTTTTCAAAGGAAGTTTTGGTAACGTCATAATTCATATTTTAATAGGAAAAATAATATTTGGAAATACAGTTCCCATGACTGCTAACAGGTACTGGTTGTCAGCAGAGAGCAGATCTTAAATAATTCAAAAATCATGTTGAGTAAACTCTTATTGGGGTAGCAGAGACTTAAATAACAGTACACGTCCTCAACAGCAATTTCCTATCTAAACAACAACTTCTGTACTGAGTTGAGTTATGCTAAAGAATTGGTCAAAGCAGGTGGAATAGCTTAGGCTAAAAATTTCCTGAAGTACCCTATTAGATTGCTGGTAGGAATGTAAAATGGTATTACTGCTATTGATAATGGTATGGAAATTTCTCAAGAAATTAAAAATAGAATTACCATATGATCCCGTAATTACAATCCTGGGTATTTACCCAAAGGAATTTAATGCAGCGATTTGAACAGATATCTGTATGCACATTGTTTATAATATCCAAAAGGTGAAAGCAACCCAGATAAATGGATAAACAAATGTGGGATATTCATGCAAAGGGATATTACTCAGCCTTAAAAAGTATAGAAGTTCTGACACATGGTACAA